TATATATATATATATATTTGCAGTCCTTAGACAAATAATACAAAACTCGGTCTATAAATTTAGTCGAAAGAGAACGATGTGTGTCCCTACAAAAAAATTATTCTATCATCACCGTCCCACGTGCGCTATTTCAAAAGATGGCATCCAAATCCTGCACGTCAGCCAAAAAAAAAAGAAAATTCCAAATTAAATAATGATCATATCTTTTGAATCTAAAATCTCCAATTTTACATAAAAAGGCAATTTTTGACCAAACTCCGAACTGGGAAGTGCAAAAAAAATAAAGTAAAATAAAACAAAGGAAAAGTTATTATGTGCGGATCCCGAACAGCGTCCGGAGATCAATTAAAATGTGTCACATCACTTTTTTATTCGGTACAGGTGCTTGATACCGGGTGATATGACACGTTCTGATTGGCCTCCGAACTGTCCGTTGTCTGTACAGAATAATTTCTCAAAACAAAGAGCTTGTTAAATGTTGAAGGAGCATAATCACGAAAAAGAAAAATTTTATAAGAAATACACAAATATATAAACATATAAAATTTACATGTTAAATGAGAAATGCATATAAATCTAAGCTTATATCAATTCATTCAAATTGAGTCACCGACTTCTTAGATAAATTTTAGCATTTCGTCAGAGTTTGAATTAGCCTCTCTTTTAAGAGTGGATAAACTGATTATATATATAATTTAAAGTAATATTTTTATTTCATTATTATAGATGAATTGAACAATGTTTACAAGTTTTTCAATCTATTTTGAAAATTTTTTATAATATTGCATTATAAGTTCATTTGGAATTAAACGGTTTTCTTTACATTGAAATAAGATGTATAAAGTATTTCAAATACAAGAGTTTTAAAAATAATGATATTTGATTTGAAGTTAATGAAATATAAAGTAAAATTTTAAAGTTTTTGGAATTCACCCTCTATTGGATACTTGGGAGGATTTCATGAGAAATGAGACGTGGTGCCTATGACAATTGACAAACAACTGGTCACTTGTTTAATCAAGAAGATCTTGTGATAAGGATGTATGTTCATAGTTGAGATTGGAGTGATGCTAACTTTTTGTAACAATTTGGACAAACTTTTTACAAATCTAGCATATGATCGGAGATTGACAAGATCTTCCTCTTTATGAGGAATGGGTTGCACTAAGACCCTTTTGAAATTGGGATTTTGCGCTATGTCGCAGAAACTATAGAATTGAAA